GGGAGAACTCTTCAGCTGGTAGAAATCACAGAACCATTTAAATTAAATGATATCATGCTGGAGAGATTTTAGGCTAACCTACACAGCAAGGGGTAAGGCCTCAGCTGATGTCAGAGGGAGTATGACAACATTCCTTTGGCATCTCTTCCTGTGTGGAGCCATGTTGGGTTGCAAGGCAGTCATCAGCCAGATCAAACACTTTTTATATAATGCTCTCCAGTGCAAGATGTGGGTGGGTCTCGCAAAACATTTCTGTGGTTACCGAGGGTTTTGGTAGTTACTACATGAAGAGGGCCAGCTCTGCACCAGGGGTCTCATTTAAACAATGGAGGGCTCAGATAGAGTGTGTGCTTTAAGTAATATTTCAGTGATGGGGAATGTTCTTTCCTGAACAAAAGAGGTCTTTAGCATGCATATGCCTAAATTGTTAACAACATTATTGAGTCCTAGGGAGCACAGATGTGAGACCTCTCACTACTGCAACATGAAGATGACCTTGACCAAATTATGCTGGAGAAGTCATTTGTAATGGCTGGACAAATATCAAAATACTAGGAACCTAAGATCCATAATGTTTAATTTACAGATCATTCTGAGATGGTATTTCAATTCTAAAGAATATTTATTACTATCATGTAGCTCTTAGGAAGTATTTATATGCTGGTATTCTTTAGGTGTGTATTCAGAAGACTGTGCCTAATCAATTAATAATAACATGGTTTTTATTAGCAGGAGTGGGAAACTTCTGCCTCTTGCACATGTAGGGCAGTGCTTATGGCAGACAATCTGAGAACCAGCTAAGTACTCTACACCTTATCACTGCCTTGTACATAACTGTAAAAGTCCCTCTGGAAGCCTTAGCTGCAGGAGGAAAGTTGTAGCCATACCTCTCCATTTGAAGCTGCAGTTTGCCCTAATTCCCAGCTAATTACATAGTTCAGACTTGCTTAGTATTACAGCTGAGAAAATAGTAGGGCATGGAAGTGCCAGTGTTTAGGAGCCCTTTCCACGTTGCTGGGGCCATTCACCCACTCCACCTTCCCACTCCCAGCGACATCACCTTAAAGCCTCTCAGTCCCAGCTCTATCTGCAGCTGAATCTCTGTAGCTGCATAATGTCCAAAGTTCAACCATCTGAATTCACTTTAAAAAAGAAGTTTGTGTGTGCTAGGGGGAAATGATGTTTCCCTGTGCTAGAGAGGCATAGTTGCTTTCTAAGTAAGCTTATTTTAGCCAAAAGGCAGGAAGTCACAGCATGCCCAAACAATTTAGGTACCAGCCCTGACTCAAATCCCCAACTGAATCTCCCACTCTTTTATACTTGCTTGGCCTCAGCAACATACATGTGCTTTTTGCTATTACTCACTAGCCAACACACACCCTGTGGAGAGTCCCCTCATGCAGCAGCTCCTTCAGAGGCCTTCTGACAGCCAAGGAAGAGACTGAGTCTTCATGGAGTCATTTCCACCACCCAGACTTCCCTCATACACATGATTGACATTTACAAAACAACCAGCCATGTACAAGTCCTTCTCTCCATTTCCTCTGTCCTTCCTAAAAATACACATCACACTTTTGACCTTCCCGGAGAATGCAACTTTCTGTATCATAGAATCATGGAGTGTCCTGAGTTGAAAGGCACCCACAAGGATCATCAAAGTCCAAGTGCTGGCCCGGCACAGGGCAGCCCAAGAATCCCACCCTGTGCCTGAGCATGTTGTCTGTCATGTCCAGCAGCCTTTTGTGGAGGTGCCTCTTTTCCTTGCAGAGAAGCTCCTTTTAAAAGCATTTTCTAGCATCGCCTCTTGTTGGGTTTTGACCAGTTTCACAGGCTTGCAGATGGGCTCTACTATAATCCAAGCTCTAAGAGTTACCAGGTAGCCTCAACTCACTGTCTCTAATGTACTGTTAAAGATGGTCTCTACTGGTAGATTATTTAATTAGTGATCCTCTGTCAGTCAGGGAGAACCCTTCAGACCTTGTATTTTTTACTGTGCAATCTATGGAGAAGGATATGTAGGGCAACCATCTGTGGTTAAAAACAAACAAAAAACCCTTGAGTGCCTGTGCTCAAGTGCCTGAAGGGGTCCCAAGTGAAACTAGAAGAAGGCAAGCTGCTTTAGGTCCTGTGCAAGCAGAGCTCATAGCTAACGTGTGCTGCAAAGCATCAGCTGCTCCAAGATAACTAACTGTGTGCTTGGAGCTCTCAGCTCTGGGGAGAAGAAATGCAGTGAGCCTGAATTTTTTCTACTGCTGTTTAATGCTTTTTATTTCCTATTTGCAGTGGCTTGAGACACAGTTACCACAGTTGCCTTGATGCTCAGTAAATTACTGTAACTGAGTCATATATCTACATTTGCTGATAGACGGCCATATGGTTTGAAATCAAGTTTTTAAGTGGTTTTAGGAACCAAGCAGAGTTTTCAAGGATTTTCAGTTTTATTGTTGAAGCAAACAGCAGTCTCAGATACTTGGGTGGTTGGGGTTTTTTGCAAATTCCACCAGCCTACTAAATACCTCTGCAAGTCTGAGCAGCTCAGTCAGTTGAGAATATGGGATGGGTCCCTTGATCACTTATGATTTTTCTTGTGAAGATTTCAAGATACAGCTCTGTTTCTCTCATTTGAGGTATATTTATATTCAAGCTTTGCCTGAATCCATCCTAAAAACGAAGTGAACAATGAAAAAAAACAAAACTGGAGTTGAATCCTAGCTCTTCTTAGCTCTCTTTGTTTCCACCTAGACATCTCAGGTTGATTTTTTTGTGTGCTTCTTTTGTTTTGTGCAGAAGGGGGCCCAGGGTGTGTGTTTGAATGTGAGAGAGAGAGATTAAAAATAACATTGCCTATTGCAAATTATGAGGTGAAAGTAAAGGGGAGTGTAAATCATATCTCTGCAGAACTGTAAATATGATCTGTAACGTGCTGTAATTGGAGGTTGTCTGCCCTGGGTTGAACATTCAAGAATATGAGAATGCCTGACATTGACTAGCTTCTTCAGGAGCACCATCCCTCCAGCTGACTCCAAGGATTCTTGCACTAAAAAAGACATTTTCTGTACACTTCTTGCATTGAAAAAGTTCTGGAATGAATTGCATGCGTGTCAAAGAACAATTTAAGCAGGGCCTTACTACCCTTTTATCTGAAAACCTCCCACAGTATTAAAAGGCACAAACCAAAAGAGCAATATAATCTCCCTTGTCTTGAATCATAAATGAAGTCTAGAAAATAAGCTTTCTTCTTGTGTGTGTGTGTGTGTGTGTGTAAAAACAGTGACAGAAAGGCAATTGTAAGAATTGTGTTTTGTGAATTTGTGAGAGGGGGATGACATAAATTCAAACGATTCTTCTTGTGTGTGTGTGTGTGTGTGTGTAAAAACAGTGACAGAAAAGCAATTGTAAGAATTGTGTTTTGTGAAAGGGGGGATGACAGAAATTCAAGCGGTAGAATTCAACTTCAGTTTTCAGACCTCTCACTTAGTCCAGGGAAACCTACCCAGGTTTTATTTTTTAAATTAACACTAGAAAAATCTTAAATGGGGATGAGCATTTTTCTGGGGAAAATGTTTTTCTATGAGAAAGTTAATGAAAAGAAGGTTTTTCCAACCAAAAAGTCTTGTCTCTTGCCTTTCGCATTTCTCCTCTTGTGGATGTCAGGGATGAGGTGACCATCAGGGTAGGTTTCAGCTAGAATGGGAACCTGTGATTTTTGCCAGATGCCATCTCTTGAAAACAAAATGCTTTATTCTTTGTAGGACTGGCAGGGAGAGACTGAAGCAAGGGCACTGGCAAACTAAACTCTGCTTTTGGAGATGTTACTGGTGTCAGAGATACTCTTTGTTTGCACTTTGGAAGTGGCAAAATAACTTTAAAATCTCTATCCATTTCAGGTGTGCTCTCTAAATGTGTTATTCATATCCTGTCTCAAAAATTATTTTATATTCCCATGTCATCATGCCCATTACAACACATGCCAGCCCCAGACAGACCAACAGAAATAGAAAGACAGGCTGACAAGAATCCATGTTAGCATTTAGAAGCTGGATCTCTTTGGTTGCCAGCCCCTGAACAACTCTAACAAGCCATTTCTCAGAGGCTGGTATTTCTTTCAAAGTAAAATGCAGCCCCACAGCTGCCTCAGAAACCTGGAGAGCTGAGCTGTGAAAACCCTGTTGTTTCTGACAGCAGCACTATCCCAGTTCTGTACAATTCACATTCCATATTCCCAGTTATTCTGTGCTGCACACACACATTGCAAACAGGAAGTAGGAGCAGCTCAGTTCTTGGCTTCCTCAGTCTCAAGAGACTGCCATGAAACTGAAAAACACTAAACTAAAACTTAAGTGTCTGTTAGACCTTTAATTAGCGACCTAAGGAGTGTTTGCCAAGAGGAAATTTGAATTCAATTATCCAAATAGAAAGTATTTAACCTCTCAATAGCACTCAAGTAATTATAATACTTAGGTGTTGTTTCTTTTCAGGAACCTTAAAAAGTAAAACAAAAAATGAAATTGAAAATGGGAGAAGCTGTCAGTTTTATATCACATGGAGTCTACAAAGGAAATCTGTAATATTGCCCATGCTTTAGACTCACATGTTAGCACAGAAAGGGGCAGCCTCAGGCAGGGAGAGCAGGTTGCAGGATTTGTGATTTCTCCACTAAAACAGCCAGCAACAGCATCAGGGCCAACAGTGTGAGCTTTATGTGCTTCACTACAACCATAAACACACAACTAAGACCAGCAGGTCACCTCACACAGCTTTTGATGAGATGGAGATGCTCTGTGAGTGTCAGGAGAACTGGGATGCATCAGAAGAGGCTGTATATTCTAGTCCATTTTGCAAACATTCCTCAATACCAGCCAAGCCATTTTCATTTCAGGCTGCAGCAGCTGTTTCAGCCCTGATCCCAACTGTCCTTTCACTATACATCCATCCACCCAAAATCTTCCCAGATTTAATCAGAAGGAAAAATCATTATTTTCTCATGTCTCTCTTCACAGACTGTAGGTTGCTTTGGGATTATGTTTATCAGCTGCTTTCTGACAGCCGGTACGAAAATTTCATCCGATGGGAAGATAAGGAATCCAAAATATTTCGGATAGTGGATCCCAATGGGCTGGCCCGTCTGTGGGGAAACCACAAGGTAAGGAAGCAAAGCAACCTTCCTCCTGCAGCACTTTGCCTCTTGTAGCATTACAGGATTCAGTTATAAGTGGGGGGAAAGAAGAAAAGATGGCATATAGATTACTACTGGAAAACTGTAATCTTTTATTCTATGTACATTAGAAATACAAAGCATCCATCCTGAAGCACTAAAACCTATTCTTCATACAGAGAACTTGTTGGTTTGGTTTAAAGGCCTTTAGTTATAAAGGCCTGTAATTATAAAACTATAAGGAGTGTAAGAATTAACAGTCCTTTCTCAAGGCATCTTACTTCTTCTCAGAACCTGATGCTGAGGATATTCTGGTGAGATGCAGTTTACAGGGAGCTCTGCACTACAGAGCAGGAGCTTTCTGTGTTCCTGTCTGCAGCAGCTCACAGATTCCACATGCTGCCCTGACACCAAATGCTGCAGGATTATGTATTTCTTTCTAAGAGGGCAGGTCCTGGTTTGTTCCCTGGAAAGCCATTACTGATTTTTATAGTTTGGAGCTGAGTTATGTATAGATATTTCTGTATATGTATATAAGTATATTCATATGGATGTATGAATAGTCAGCATGGATTTACAAAAGGGAAATCATGCTTGACCACTGTGATATCCATCTACAACAAAATTATTGGCTCAGTGGATTCAGGGATAATGGTGAATATAGCTTATCTTGATTTTTAGAAAGGCTTGAAACTGTCTCATAACAGCTTCAAAGACAGACTAATTAATGACGTAGACAAGAATACAGTGAGGTAGATTGAAAACTGGCTGATCTGGGCTGCAAAGATGGTGATCAATGGCACAAAATCCAGTCACTAGTCATTTTACCCCAGAGATTGATTCTGGGGGCAGTACTGTATGTCCCTTAATGATCTGGATGATGGGACAGATTCTCAGACAACACAAAACTGGGAGGAGTAGCTGACACACCACAGGGTTGTGCTGTCATCTGCGTGGTTCTGAACATGCTGGAGCTATGGGCTAATGGGAATTTTGTGAAACTTACCAACCTGCACATTAATTATTGGGCCATGCCATCAGGTCTCATGCTGAGTGTCTAAAACTCCTTCAGACCATTGGCCACTTGGAACTTACCAACCTGCACATTAATTATTGGGCCATGCCATCAGGTCTCAGGCTGAGTGTCCTTCAGACCATTGGCCACTTGAGCAACACAGTGGCCTTTCAGCATATGAGAAATGGAAGAAGCACAAACAGTATTTCAGGGAGGTTCCCAATGAGGAGTCTAGTCACTTTTTGCAGGGAAAACTTTGTCCCTGTTAGTGTTTCATTGCTGCAGGAGTTCTTGATGTGGCCTCCCACTGCAGAGTTATTGTAGTCAGGGCAAGCAGAGGGGGTTCTGCTCTTACTGGGTGTTTTGGGCAGGTGGGTCAGTCTCCTTTGGTGAAGCCAAACTCCTGACATGGAGACTCCGAGAACAAAAATGTGCTTCTGCTGTTTCAGCATTTCTTGCCCATGGCGAGGCGGCTGCTTTACCCTCGTGCACACACAGCTTTGGCAGCAGAGTTGTCTCTCTGCTGGTGTCTGCCAGACAGCAGCCACTGCTCCTTCCTGTAGACACAGCCTAAGGGGCTGATCCTGCTCTTCCAAGTCACTAATTTGGGGGCTGCCCACGTACAGCTCTGCTGCCAGTGCCTGTCACTTCTTCCTTGTGACACTCAGCTTCAGCAGAGCCATCTCCTCTGGGGGCTTAGGAAGGTTTTAATGAATCATCTCACACACAGTGTACCTCAGGGCTCTGGCCACGGCCTTTGGGGCCAGCAGCTCCCAGAATGAAGGGGAGGATCTGTCACAGAAGCAGAGGTACAACCCAACTGGTTTCTTGGTTTACACCTGTGTAACAAGAGGACAAACAGGATATCAGTGCCCACAGTGCTCTGTGAGCATTAACTAGTTAATGCAGGGGAATCCCAGAGGAGCAGTGCTCCAAGCAGGGATTGCTGACAGATTCAGCCTATTAGCCACTACACCCAGGCTTTTATAAAAGGTGTTTTCATTAAGAACAGGCCTGTCACATCCCACTTGGCATGAGCATCCCCCTCCACCTAATGTCTCCTCTTGTAGTTAATTAAGTCTTTTGTTATCTGTGTTCCAAGAAACTGTAGAAAAGCCTTGCTTGGAATTATTGTTAAACTCCTTGCTTGAATTGCCCTGTGTGGAAAGAGACCCACAAAACTTAGGTCATGAGGGCTGTGGGGGCAGAATGGGCCTGCAAACAGCAAAAAATGGTACATGTAATTCTTGGACTGTCTTGGTTACTTTAGGCAAGCTCTGGTAGTTCTGCAAGTCATTTTGGGGCTTAGGAAGGTTTTAATGAATCATCTCACCACTTTTTTTTTCTTTTTTTCTTTTGAAAAAAACAGAACAGAACAAATATGACTTACGAGAAAATGTCCAGAGCCCTACGCCACTACTACAAACTAAATATTATCCGGAAGGAGCCAGGACAAAGGCTTTTGTTCAGGTAATTTTCTTTCTTTGCCATTTCTTTCTATGGAAAGTTAGTTTTTGAGGATGGAAGATGGAGTTGTGTGTGGGATACTGTGCATGGCCATACATTTGCAAAAGCTGTATAAAGCAGTGCTTCCCAGCTTTTAAGGCAGCCACACCAATTTACAAAAAACACAGGCCTGTCTCAATGATCAGTGGAGACAATAGAAGTCTTTTCACTGCTTTGTGCAGGCTGTGCCATTGTTTAAGACCTTAGATACATGGGTTCAGTCAAACTGCTGGAAAACCTGCTCCAAATGGACTTCTCAAACACAGCTGCCTGTGAAAGCTGAGCAGGGATCAGGCATTTCCTCAAGGGCATCACAGAAGAGAAGCGCTCAATGACCACATCTTTGGTGCTGCCTTGAAGGAAGAGAGGGAGCTGCAAGAGCTGTTCATAGAACCCAGCACAGCTGATTGGATGGTACAGACAAGAATTTAGGAAATAGAGCCTGAAACAGCATTAAAGCAGGGAGCTACTTGTACAAACTTGAGTGCAGATGGCACAGTGAGAGCACTCCACTCCTCTTCAGAAAACACCAGCAAATCCTAGTGCATGTCTGACCCTCAGAGCACTGAACTCAGACCAAAGACTGCTTTGCTGTCAGTAGCCAGCCTGGATCTAACAGTGTGTTTGGACATGATAACAATAGGAAGGCAGGCTTGGAATTTGTTTTCTTAAATAGCTAACAGAACTACATTAACACTCAAACGCTCTTCAGCTGGAAAAGGGTTCTCTGGAATGACTTGTTTATGTCAGCTCTTAGAAGGAAACATAGATGCAGGAAGGAGAGTGAAGGAAAAATCAAGTGTTAAAGGGCAAAATCAAGTGTTCAGTAGTAAATTTTTTTCTGGTGGAAAGTTAAAACAAGGTTGCTCCATCAGTACCAAGGGTACCTGTATCTCTGTGGCCTTGTGTGAAGACTGCATTGCCCTGGGGGAATTCCTGATGCTGAATATTGAATGTGCTTCTCTTGAAGCCTTCCTTTCAATGGGGGCATCCACAAAATGGGAGTCCATCTCTTCTCAACCAGGCTGCCTGTTTTCTCAAAACCATTTTAACTTAATGCCCTTGGAGACATCAGTTGCTCTGTCAGACTTGGCCAATTTGACCAACAGATTCAAAGGTCACCAGAGAGCATAAACCATGAGCTATATAAACTTCATTTCCTTTGGAAACTGGGAAAAAAAAACCAGAAAAACATTTCTTTGCACAATTCCCAATAAAAACTTTTTGATGTTGCTTTCTTAGACCTATTTATATCTGAAGAGAAAAAGAACAGCTGCAAAAAATCAAGTTATTAATGTGCCTTTCTTGGCTATTCCTTGCAAGCAGAGAAATAATAGGAAATGTGACTTTAACCTGCAGGCAGTTGTCATCTGCAGATATCTGTATGGAGCTTTAAGTAAGATGGAGTCAGAAGAGGATTTCTAATGGGTTGTCTGGGTGTCTTCTGCAACAAAATAGGTCACAGATAGTGTGTCTTAATTTTTGTTCAGTTCTGATTTGGGTTGGTTTTTGTCTGTTTGTTTTTTTTTTTTAATGTAATCAGATGCTATTAGAAATACCCACAGTGTGATTTCCTTGACGTGGCTTAAAGCACAGACCAGAAGGAATACCCAAAGTCCTGTGGTGCAGCTCACATGGGCCCATGCCCCACATGGAAAGGGGAGTGGGTCCCATGGCAGTGGGACCACTCTGTGTTTTGATTTCATTGCCGTGCAAGATGGACAGGACAGTGACAGGGTGTAAATCAGGGCACAGTCTGGCCCTGGGCTTTGCTGCACTGTGTAGCCAGGCACTGATTCACCACTCCTGCATACAAGTTTTTCACCACTGTAACACTGTTTGTTGCAGCAGCATTTTTCCAGCAGTGACACAGCAGTGAGTCACAGCACTTTTTTTTCCCCCTAAATGCTTATATGCACATGATTTCCAAAATTAGAAGGGAAGGCAAAAGGTTAGTTGCAGGCTATGCTGTGTTTGCTGAGAAGCTCTAGCAGTGACCATTCTGAGTCAGTGATAGTAACGAGGCTCCTGCTGGTTGTTTTTGTTTTCACTGGGGCAAGGATACTGAGCATATCATCAACGTGAAATAAAATCAGCTCTTACAATTAACACATTTCATACTGCTGCATGTTAACCAGGACGCTGTTAATGAAAGACTGAAATTTTGTACCACTTCCAGCATAAACATCTCTCATCCTAATTCCTCCAGAAGTGCTTGGGAGTTGGGAAACTGATTTGTGTTGAAACTAGGATTTCATCCTTCCTGTGTCACTCTCTCTTCTTTCATCATAAAATTGAACATGAAAAAGCAGAGCCTTTCTGTGCTACCTCTGGGCAGTAGTACACAATAATGTCCTGGCAAAAACCAAGACTGCAGACTTACACTGCAGGCTGGTGGATGTCCTTTCTCATCTCCTTCTGCTGCCATGCCTCCCCACAGGTAATTTCTGTCTCAGAACCCTACAGACTCAGTGCCTTGAGACACTGCTGCTGGGAGCCGTGGCATTCATTACACAGGATGCTGCCTCACTGCAGTCACACTTTCTGCAAGCACACAGGAAGAGACTGTCCCTGCTTACAGTTCTCTAGCCCTAAACCTTTTTCCTTCAGGGCTTTTTCCATTCCTGGAGCTTGTTCTGATGTGGACCTTGGCTTTTTCCCCCTGTTCCTTTGGTGTTTCATGTTCTTCTCACTCACCTGCACAAACCAATAACCCGGTGCCTCCCCACACCTTGCAAGGGCTTGTGCTTTGAAATATGCTGATCATAAACACCTTTCATGTCTCTGTCACCAGACACCACACATGAGTGTACTGGGGCCAAGCTGTCATCTGACATGAAAACAGCAAACAATGAGGGAGAAGAAATAAATATAATTCTTTGAGAAAATCTATGGGTTTTGTTCAGATTTGGGCTTTCAAGAAGCCAGGGTAAAGGCTGGTGATTTCTTTGTTTCCTTTCAAGGTATGGAGGAGGGAAGACACCTGGGGAGAAGCTGGGAAATACTAAGGCTTTGGGAGGATACAGCAAAAATTATCTTGGGAGCTGTAGAGCTCAGGGGTCTCAATAACCTGATGGAGATAAAAGCTGAGACCCCTGAGAAATGCGCTTGTTTCTCTGGTTTGCAGGTTCATGAAGACCCCAGACGAGATCATGAGTGGCCGGACAGACCGCCTCGAGCACCTTGAATCCCAGGAACTGGATGAACAAATATACCAAGAAGATGAGTGCTGAAGGAAACAGGTGCAGCACCTCTGTGGGTCCAGGGGAGAAACATCTGCCTGACGGTCGGCACGGTTTGGGAGGGGAAGCAACAACACAGGAGCAGTACTTGAGGTCGCTGCTTAGCTTGAAGACCACGCAGGACCTGAAGCACCTTAACAAAACAAACTAACTGGCAGAAGTGGTGCTGGCAGGAAAGCAAAGGGGAGAAAGCCTGGACTTGTGCACTACTTCACTGTTCCTACAAAGTCTCCCTTGAGTTTTTTCTTTCTTTTTGGTTTGTTTCAGTTTTGGGGTTTTTTTGTCATTTTTTTCCCTAATAAACATGCAGTTTGACTTTCCTTATCTCACATAGGACAAGACACCAGATTATGCTTCTTCTTTTTTGGTTTTTTGTTTTTGGAAGGCTTTCCTATGGAAATAGAGTGCTCCTATTTTCTGTGCAAGTCTCATGACACAACACTGCATAAACAATAGCAACACAGAAGGGATTTGCTCAAGGCTTCCAGTTTGCTTGGATCAATTTATATGTGCTGCCACTGAGAAATGTGTTGAAGCTACCAAAAGAATATCTCACACATACCTGTCAAATGAAGAGGAGACACCCTTCACATGTAGGCTGGGCTGTCATCCCAGCATAGCTTGGGCTCACCAAGAGTACTCCGAGTGGCTGTTAACTGCTGGAATATGGACCAAAACCAATCACCTAAGTGCTCCAGAGAGGAGAAAAATAAATGTGACAAACCTCTGCAAGTGACTATCAGTTAACATTTTCCCTCCTTCTAGCAAAGAAGTGATAGAATGGAGGAGGGGGAAGGGAGGGTGGGGACAAATACATATATATGTGTGTATATATATCTAAAAGTTCCATATGTATATATATATAAAAATATATATGTAATTCCCCCCAGTATATTCACAATGCAGGGTTGTGAATTTCAGTTCAGAGTTTTCTATAAAAAGAAAGACTGAAGCATCTGTAATTACAGAAGGAAGGGGTGTTTCTCATACCTGTTAGCAATTTTGGGGTGAAAGGTGAAGGACTGTTCCTTACATCATAGGGAGAAAGCAAAGGGACTCATCACATGGTTTGTATTACTCAGAAGCCTCTCCAGGATCATTTTTGTGCTGCTGGAGAGGTAGATGATTCACCACTCCAAAATCTGATGTTAGAGAACTAGAGACCAAATAGCTATACTTATATCTTGTAATTGATTTTGGCTTTGTTTTGGGATTTGGTTTGTTTTGTTTTTTTTTTAATGCCTCCCACTGCCCTCCCCCATCCTACAGCTCTGCCATCAAGGAAGCTTGTCCCAGCTTGCCTGTTTTTAACATGTGTTGAGACAAGAGAAAAACAAACCCTACAGCTGTGTTGCTTTCTTGGTTTGGGGTTTTGTTCTGGTTGCAAGGTGCCTCCATTTGGTTTGCTGCACTGAGGGTGCTTGGCATGAGGTAAAGAGCTATGCCTAGTTTGGTCACAGAAAGCTCAGCAGTCCTTGATGCCCAAACAAGAGAAACTGCTGGCCTGTTTCATTTCACAGCTTGGACCACCAGGACAGGAATGTCTGTGGTGTCCAGTGATCCATCAGCAGTGGTCCTTTGAATGGAAGGAAGATCTAGCAGCAGAAATGATGCTTGCAGAGGGAGAAGGTTATGGGAAAACTGCAGGAATCACATTGTGCCTGAAAGAAAGCACGTCCACAGCAGTGCATTAAAAGCAGAAAGCCTCTTTAATGGAAACATAAAAGAAACTAGATCTGGAAAAAAATCAAAAGGCTAATCTAATCCATTTCAACCAAAAAACAAGGTACATTCCCATGATAGGGCTTTTATCAGCTATTAAACCAACGCGACATTTGCTCTTTCCATGTATTTAACAGGAGGGTTAATCTATCCAGGAAAAAATGGCACTATGCAATGAACAGTGTCCCCTGTGTTTAAACAGAGATAGGCCAATCTCACCAAAGACTTAATACTGAGTCACAGGTCGTAGAAGGAGCAGCTTTGTTAAGGGTGTAGATAAGCATCGTACAACAAGGGGAGATTTTTCTGAGCCAGTATCTGATGAGGAATGACAGGGTGTGCATTTCTCCCTGAGCTTTTCCCAGCCACGTTTTTCTGTAAAATCACAGTCAGTAAGTTACAAGTCCCAGCACACCACGTACTTCATGTGTTCTGCCTCAAAATAATGGACAGGGGAGTGTTTTTTAGCACTGTGTCACCTGTCTCTGTCATGACTCTGAAGTCGCTGGAGCTCATGAGGCGTGAGATTGGGAGACACTGTGGGACTTCAGCAGTCACAGATATGAAACCTAAAGTCCCTTGCCTTGAGACCCCAGGGACCTTACTCTATCACGTTGCTCAAGGGCCCCCAAGTTGCAGCCAGGTCTCAGGAGCTGGAATGAAGTGGTGAATTTGACAGATGGAGTGTGACCAGAAGTACCGATGTAAAGAAGGGCTCTAGCTGGATCCTTGGGTGTCCAGTGGTAAAAAGAGAAATTTTTTACAGAGGATGATTAATCCTCTTTACTGCTGTGGTCTAGACAACTGCATAACTGCATTATTTTCTTCAGCCTGCTGTTACAAGATGGTGAGGGACAAGAAAAAAACAATAGAGACTTTCTGCATAAAGTGCTCTGATGAGTCACAGCTTTTTGTCATGGCCAAGGTGCACACTGCAGAATACAGAGAAGCAGAGACAATCCACCCATTTTCACCATTATCTACCAAATTAAGTCCATCCTCAGCACTGGGTAAGACAGGAAAATCACACATTGTAGGGAAGCTTTATAGTGGAAATGTTCACCTTTACAAAGAAATGCAATCACTTCCACTTGTAGAATCTCAGTCAAAGGGCAAAAAACGTTTGTGGCTGTTGGAAACTCTTCCCAGTTCACACATAAAGGACATCTTAAGACAACGTCATCACAACCACAGAGGAGGAGTTCTTTCAAGGCTGATGCTAGGAATGAAAGTAGCCTTTGACCTTGGAACAGGCCAGTCACACAGAGGCCCTTCCTGTCTCCTGCCAGGCCTCCAGGTGCCAAAGGGAACGGTGTGGGTGACACTGGAGCTGCCAGGACTGCAGAGCCTTGGGGCCTGTTGTGGGAACTGCAGGATTTGAACCGCTCTTGGGGTCTTGAAGTGAGTTTATTAGGTATGACTAAAGATAAAAAAGTAGTGGCAGGCTAGAGCAGCTGCAGGAGGGAGATTCCCATTGACCTCACATCCACTGGCAGATCCATGGGAATGCAAAGACAGCATTAACATCTTGAGCCATAGGAATGCGTCGCTGCCTGCCAGGGCTAGCAAAGGTAACACTGTCTTTCCACCAACACTGACACCTGCCTTCCTCCCCTCCCCCAGTTTCTGATTTCCCAGTTAGAATTTGCCAGCTGCAAAACAGCCAAACTTTCTGCCTTTGCCACCAGAGCATGTGGGGAAAAGGGAGAAAGGGTTTCATCCTTGGAGATACACAAAAGTCACCTGGACATGGTCCTGGGCAACTGCACCTGGTTGGCCCTGCCTGACCAGAGGGGGTTTGACCAGATCCCTGCCAGCCTCAGCACCCAGCAAACGTTCTGAGTGCTTAAGTGGTTATGCAAAGGTTAAGTGGGACCTTTGTTGTCATCAGCTTGCTACAAGCCTCAGCAAGCCACAGGTCAGTCAGGTAGGACATGCTGCAGTTCCACAGCAGAACATTTTCTTGATTCAAGTTTGAAACCTGCTGACTGCCTCTCCATCCAGAGAACACTACTGCGGCCCTTTCTGTGAACACTAAATTGCTGCCATCCTCCCCATATTTCAAACTCCACTTATGCATTCTCCAGATCTTTTTTGTCAGACTGCAACTGTATGCGAATCCAGAGTTTGAGGTCTTTTTTAAAAAAAAAATAAAATTCTAGTGTTTTTATTGATGATGGCTTTTGTTTTTTTAAGGTGTGGTGTTAAGGGACTGAATCAAATGAATGTAACAAAACAAAAACAAGCCTATTCTCAGGGCCAGTGAGTTGCAAATAATTTTTAAAATGCTTGTAATTACATCATCTCAATAAAAAAATTTAATACAAAAGCAGGAATGCCAAATTTGTTGGTGCAATCATTGCTACAAGACTATTTCTTTTTAAGAGCCATGGTACCTGAGAGTGTAGCACACAGCAGCTGTTCTCAGTCAGGAAATGAAACCTGCAGGCTCCCCCTGCCCGAACACGTATGAGCAGTGCCTTGATCTTCCCTGGGAAGCGTTGTTCAGAAAAGTTAAGGCTGTCCCTTGAAATATTTACTTTGCTGTCTGTCCTGAGAGATAAGTCAAGTACTCCTCTAATGAGTGGATGTGTCTACCTGGTTCTCCTTCCTTCTCTTGGAGTGGACGCAGAAGAAAAAAAGAAAAACCAAAAATGAGTTGCTGTGATGATTGATGCATCTTTTTATCCCACTTAACAGGCCGGATCAAACTGTGAGAGCAAGAGGTTTTAAAGAATATTCATCTTTGCAAACCAGTCTAGGAACCCAGCTCCTCTCTTCCAGCTAGCAGGACTGTATTTTCAAGTGGTCATCCCTAACCAGGAGGTGAGGGGAGAGCAAGATGAGGTGGCACAAACTGCTCCCCGCTGTCCCTGTCTCCTGCATGGTGGGGTTCCTGCTGCTTTTGACAGCATGAGGCCTCTGGAGGGTTTTTGAACACCCCTGATGCAGAGATGCCACCAAAAGCCGCACCAAACAAACACATCCTTGCTCCAGAGAGGTGCCACCAAATGCCATGGCAAATAAACAAACACTTCCCTTCTCCAGAAAGGTGCCACCAAATGCCACAGCAAACAAACAAACAAACACAACCCTGCTTGAGAGAGGTGCCACCAAATGCCACAGCAAACACCTCCTGTCAGCAGCACACAGCCCACAGCCAGTGCTCTGGTGGGAGCAACTCAAAGAATCACAGAATGATTTGGGTTGGAAGGGACTTTAAAGCTCATCTCATTCCACCCCTGCCGTTAACAGGAACATTTTCCCCTATCCCAGGTTGAACCAAGCTCTGTCCACCCTGGCCTTAGACACTTCCAGGGATGGGGCAGCCACAGCTTCTCTGGCATACTGTGCCAGGGTCTGACCATCCTCACGGGAGAATTTCTTCCTAGTATCTAATAAAAACCTACGCTCCTTACACTTAAAGTCATTCCACTTTGTCCCATCACCTCCATGCCCTTGTAAAAACTTGAACTTTCATGTAGGCTTCCTTCAGATAAAATCAAGTCTTTTTAGGGTCTCCCTGAAGCCTCCTCCAGGCTGAACAACCCCACTCTCTCATCCTGTCCTCTTAGGAGAAATGCTCCAGCCCTCTGATCATCTTTGTGGCCCTCCTCTGATCTCGTTCAACAGATCCATATCTTCATGGCAGGTTAAAATATTTGGATCCCATCTACAGCTCAGGATGACCCAGGACAATCTGGCTGATGCGTCATTAGGAGCACTCAGCTGCTTCTTGCTCAGTATTTATTTTTTGTTTCCTTTCACTGGTGTTTTTAAAACACAAAGCAAAGAGTAAGCAGTAAGCAAGCCCCTTTCTGAGCCAAGACATCAAGAAGGAAACAAGGTGTGTTCCACCATAATTCAGTCCCTTCAGGCCATTTTCCTTTAATTTTAGAAGAGGAAATAGATGTATCCTAGACCTTGGCACAGCTTTCGCTTGCACTCTGAACAATAGCAAATGCTGTAGGTCAAAGGCATAGTGGAAGAAGTTCTCAGTGGTTTTGCCTATTGCTCCAGTGAGGATTAGTCTCAGCTCAAGAACTAGACTTGAATCCAGAGAACATCCTTTGGACACTCTGGGACACAAGAGGCATAGCAGTGCATGTTCAGTATCTCTTCCTTCCCATTTTCAAAACTGGCTGAGCTGCAAAGGAAAGCTCCCCAGCCAACACCAGCACAGGGAGCATGGACAATGCAGAGGTTTGCAGAGCACAGCTGCCACAAGCATGGTGGTGCACAATTCCTCCATCCAGCTCCCCAGCACTGACCAGGAGAGATTTTGCAAGGGTGTCAAAGAAGACCTCAGTGACTGTCCACACACCCTGAGGACCTACAGAGGCTGCAAACAGCAGCATTTTTTAATTATGTAGGAAGAAAGGTTTTCACTTCTCCCAGATGCGACGCCACCTCTGAGACACAAGCAAACAAGAAAATGCTGACCTCAGTTTGAAATCCAAGCAGCTTCCAAGCAACACAGAAAGAGCCACTTAGGAAAGATGTGAGGAGAGAAAGGATGCACTGCCACAGCATGAAGCCCAAAAGCAAACATGCTTCATTAATCACCTGAAAGAAAAGTGTGGTGTGTCACTGTAAGTATTCCAACAGCACAGGTGGATCTACCACATGTCAGGTCTGTCCATACTGGATTCCCACACACCCAGGGATCTGCTGGTTGCACTGTGTTCACACAGGCACACCTTGCTCAGTTCTGCTGCAGCCTCCTCACCATGCAGAACTGGAAGCTGAGCTAAATTGTATCCACCTGATGAGAGAAAGATGCAACTTCATGAGCTGCTTCAGAAGAAATGTCCCACTGCACACTGCCATCCCGCTGTGCCCAGCAAGGGGGAGGCTGTGGAGGGAGGAGAGGAAGGTTTGCAGCCTGGTTCAAGCTTTCACCACCCCGAGCACCTCCTAAGAGCCCAATAGAGAGCCAGGTGAGGATGAACTTCCCAGGATCCGCTTCTAAAATAACCAAGGACATGAGGTGTCAATGCCAGGGCAGCCAGAATTCCAGCACAAAATGTAAGACAGGACTGTACCAATGGTGAACAAAATCACATCCGTTTCCTCATTCTAGGTGTCCCTACCTGTTTTCCCCAATCAGCGGGAAAGTTTTATGTCATTTTGAAGGCAGAGCAGAAAAAGAAGGGCAAGAGCCTGTCTTCCCACCTTCATCCCGCCATGCTCTTTCCTCAACCTGTTGCCTTGAAAAAAGGGGGAATGGGATGTGGAAGTTCAGCAACCAGCTCAGCCTGAGCTGGGTTCAAGAGTGCCAATGTCACCAGTTAATGAAACAGCCTTTTTCCTCCTCCCCTGTGGCAGTACTGTTGTATCCCTGCTGTAACAGCCTTCCTTTGCTCAAAAGGACAGCATTAACCGTGCTTAATGACCATCTTCCAGGGTTAGTCGTCATAACTTGGGCAACCTGTCCACTTACTGACCATCTCTCCACCCCTGGCTAGATGTCCAGTGAAGGGGAAGGCTGAGGTTGTCACTCTGCAGGACACCCATTTCTTGTGATTCCTGGCAGACTGTACAAATTTCTTGTAATTCTTGGCAGACATACAAATGGGAAAGAAATAATCTGGCAATTGCTACAGAGAATTGCAGCAGTACACCTGTTTTCTTCAGTGTTGTCCATTTGTCAACAAAAGCAAGTGTGTGCATCTCCTCCATCCTCAGTGCCAGCACAGGAACCAGGCTGAGATCTCCATTTTAAACCAGGCAGACCCTCTTTGTGTGACTGCTGTCACAAACCACAACCAACATTTAGGGCGGAAAAAAGGAAAACACAGTGCCCTCCCATAAGACAGTAGAGGTCGTTATGGCCGATACGATCAGTTGTAGAACCTGCAGGGACACATCAATCTCTCTGCCTCCTGCAAACACCTCTGCATAAAGTTTCCCAGCACCTCAAAGTGCTGGAGAACAGCCACAACAGGAAGAATGATAACTGTTCAGGAATTAGAATTGATCTCCTACTGCCTGATAAACACTGTTAGCCTGGGGTTGTTGACTCAAAGCCAAGTTCCGCTAAACGGACAAAGTTTCCAAGTCAACCCTTCCTGGTGTTTGACAAGGTGAAGGGAAGGAACTGAAGACAGCTCAAACAAAGCAGGTATTGTTTCCAGTAGGCTGCGGAAAGATGTGAGTGCATGACCCGTCAGAAGAAAGTGAGGAAAAGAAGCAGGGGTTGCATGAAAGCTGAGGCAAGCAAAGAGTCAGTTTGGGTGATCCGACAAGGAAAGCAGGGAGTGTTCACCACAGGAAGGGCCAAGGTCAGTAACTTTCACTTGGCCAATGTGTGCTTGCAGGATCTGAGCAGGCCTCTATTCAAAGCCCTGCAAAATGAGGACTCCACCTCCTCTGTACCAAAGGTTAGTTGTTTCCTGCATTAAAATGTGTCCCTTTTTTCCCCATTTAACTCCATCTTAATTCTGCTTCCAACCATTAGCTTTCACTGTGCTTCTCTTCTCTAACTTCTGTAAACCACGGTATTCCCACATGGAGATCCTTACTGACTGCAATCAGTGCAACTCTTACTCTTTTTTCCAGCTAAGTGTCTTAGGTTGCAATGCAAGACAACCAAAAGTATGTATTCTATTAGCATCTGTTAAAACCAGGTGGGGCAGTTTTCTTTATCTCTTCCACAAGATATCTGCAGGGATATCTGCTGTTAATGGGCCATTGAGTCTCACTGCATGACTGATAAAATTCCATCATCCCATTGTGAGATGCTCTGCATCCTGCCCCTCTCAGGGGGAGGAGCCAAGCATTCCTACCTGGATATAATCTGAGATTTGGAACTCCACAGGCAGCTTTTTCCCACTGGATTCCCAGAGGAGCAGCTTTCTTTTCCACTGGACTCCCAGAAGACCAGGCCCATCTACACCACCACAGGACCTTCAGAGGAAATCTCCACCCTTCTATAGGTTCACTGTTCCAACAGAACCACAGCTGGCACTGCAGGAGGGCTGCAGCCACCATTTAATGGGACTGCTGCCAACACCCTGACCCACAGGGTGTCAGGTTTATTCTGACCCTGTCAGTGTTTGGGTTTTTTTTTTTTTTTTTACTACTGCATTTGTATTTTAATTTTTGTAATAAAGAACTGTTATTCCTATTCCCATATCTTTGCCTGAGAGCCCCTTAACTTCAAAATTGCAAT